CTGCATCTCTCATCAGTGGAAGTGCACAAACAACAAATCATATGAACATTTTTGATCGTGAGGCTACCTAACATGAGGCCATCTTGAGAACTACCTTCAAATGGCCAAACAGTGTGCACTGCTTACCTCTTTTCAACTGCTGCTGTCTTTCATTTGAGTTACTGCGTCGTTGTTGTTTAAAGGACTTCTTGGTTGAATGATAGCAGTCTGGTGAGCAACAACACCAGCTACTGCAAAACCAGATAATACCAGTGATTTCCGCTATTTAGGGACGCGCCATGCAGTCGATTTCACCCAAAATTGCCTAAGCAGTTGAATGAGGGACATACCTACACGGACATGAAGGGCCGCTAATATACGCACCACCCCATAGTCCACCATTATTCTTGTAAAGGAGATCATTCAATTCATTGTGGGCAATAGCAATCGAAATGGTCGGGGTAGAAGGGGTAACCTTTTGGAGCTTCGGGTAATACTGTCTTGATCTAGTGAACATAATGCATGTGCTGCCCTACATCACATTCAATTGCTGAAAGGAACCAGGCGGTTCTCAAGGATCTGAGAAAGGGCATCATTCGTATTTTTTTCTATGAAATTTCATGTTTTTGACAGTATGCTCGATTTCCATCGAACCTTTCGTTAGCCTTGGCAGAAGTTTCTGAACACCGTTTGACCGATTACTATGGCGTTCCAGCGATGATAACTAAGAACGCAACTGCAATACTCCGATCCGGTTTAGTGTAAAAATAATCAACAGAAATTAAAGCGACAGCAGCATTGATATGGAATCGTCGAGCTCTCAAAGTCGTTTCTAATTTATTGTTATCGTTTGTATTTAGTGAAAGAAGTCGCGTTTGCAAGACAATAGCTGTTGAATAGTCTGAGTATTTCACCAATTAATACCGTAGTTGTGAAGGCAGTTCAGTGGCAAGTATCGTTTTACCATTAGGCATCATATTCAGGACTGAGGCACTCATAGGTTGATAAGGCCTTTCATTCCAGTTCCTCATTGATAGTCGCTGTTACTGATAACCATTATTGATAACTACTTTGAAGAAGCCCAAGCATGCGTTCGTGTAGATTATACACGTTTCAGGCGCCTCTGAGAATCCGAACTGAGGTCGAGGACATGGCGCATACAGAACAGAACAAGCTCTTCCCGCTCGTTTTTCTCATGTCGCTCTACCTGCAACTGAAGGGTCATGAAAAAGTCATAACGTGAATTAGCGGCCAGGAAAGAGAGGATGGAAAATTACTGGTATTAGCGGAGTAGGCCCACAGATAGGTGGACTTAGGGATCAAATCTTGTAATTTATTTATTTGTTTATTTATTTATTGGGTAGATGAGTAACGGTGGATTGAATCACGTCCCTTAGCATAAGTCACAACGTCGCCACAAAGCTTTACGACCACACTGCGTCAACGAAATGCTCGTCACCTACATGACAGCGGCAAGGACGTATCGTTCTCTTCAGTGAGTCACCACCATGCCCGTCGTCACTGATGCCCTGTTGGTGTTGTTGTCACTTCAGAGATTAGCCGACATCGAGCAACTCTGTGTACATTTGCTTGTCATAACTCTCAATCCCATCAACCAACATCCTGGTCGACCTCCCTCGATGCCCTTTGGAACAGGTGTCGCCTGTCTAGTGCGTTGTGAATATCCTGGTCTTGGAGTGGTTTTATGAGGGCATCCTTCGAAGAAAAAAACCTAGGCGAAAAGAAAATCCTGTCGACAAGTCAACGTTGTGATTAGTCCTCTTCATTTCGCAATAGAACCAGAGCTTCCTTTTTTCTACGCTTTCGTTGGAATTATCTTTTGAAAGGCATTCACGTCCTTGATATGTTATATATAACAGACTCACTTTGACACCTACAAAACGTACGATTTCGTCTCCTTCTCTTCCTTTTCCCCCTTTCCTTTCCGTTCGTATTCAGTCCTGATGACCCATCTGATCAATCATACATGGATCTATCAATTCCGAAGATCTCCTTACTTTACCACTTGTACAATTTCGTATTCGAGCCGTCAAGAAAACAAATCCCCGTTATTTCTCCCAGATTGACTTGCCATCCCAAGCTTTTGTGGTAAATGATAATCTGCTTGAAGATTTATTGTCTTTAGCGATAAACAACATGAGATTGCTATGCACGTAAACAACATCGAGATTTTACTGTATAGACGTCCACTATCGTCTCAGGGGACTAATCAGGGACCATGCAGGAATTGAGGGTTTTTTCGCTAAAGAGTTCACTTGGCCCTTGGAGAGGGGGAGGGGAGGGAGGTTGTATTATACGCAATCGCATTCTCGCCCTGTACAAGAACTTACCAAAACTATGAAATCAGGGAAGAAAATCAAGAATTACTGTGAATAAATCGCTTAATTTAAGGGATCCATCTCGTCGATAATGTG